GATCTCCCACAGCCATCATTTTGACGGCTCTATTAGTTGCATTGTAAACTCTTCCCGTGGTTGATTGATGTTTGGTAGCGTTGCCTAGCAGCCAACATTCTAGTTAGAACTCTTTGGCTAATACGGAAAAATGGCTTTCAGAAGAAATCTAACAGCGAAACAGGCTTTAGAAATGCTTAAAGATATTGATGATAGTGATTCATGCGGAGGGGGAGAGACCGATGAGGAGGACTGGGGAGGAAACAGCTCAGTTTCTGACAGTGAGTCCGAGGATGATCACTCACCCCTGGGAAAACGCAGACGTATCAGTGACCCCTCAGGCAAAAGTGAAACTTTTGTTCAAGCACTGCCCACACCTCAGCCGGTACACTCAGCGGCCCAGTAGCCAAACCAGAGCCCGTAGTCTACTATAATCACACACAGGTCGGTGTGGATGTGTCGGATCAGATGATTAAAAGGATTCTGTAAGTGAAGGTGGCCTGTGGCTGTAATTTAGGATCTATGTTATATCAGCTATAAATGCATTGGTTTTGTTCAGGAGCTGTTTGAGTCACTTTTTCACTCAGAGATTTTATCCTTGAGCTGGTAAAACAGTTGAGGGCAAACAGCAGGTTTCCAGCCCCTCTGCTGCTGCAGAGCAGCTTTGGCGAGGCACAGAAACAGCGCCAGATGCTTCAGTGCTGCACAAAAAACGCTCATATTACCTTTGTCATAAATGTGAAAAGGTGGTCTGTGGGAAATGTTTCGGGTGAATCAATCAATTTCTGTAAATAAAATTGTAATTTCAAACTTTGAACCTGTGTAGTAAAACAGTGTTACTCTACTGATTTATTTTTAATACAAATTTAGAACACAAATAATAATAGAATACAATACAGCCTTTGAAAAAAATATATTAGATCTGTTTTAAAGCTACAGTGTGTAATAATTACAGGGATATACAGTCAGAAATGTAATATATTATACATAACTATGTTATTTATCATCATCTACGAGCTCAGCCTCTTAACCTTAATATTTGCGTTGCCTTAGAATTCGTTATTTATAATTACATAGGAGCGGGTCTCGCAGCCATGGAGGCAGACATCTTTGCGCTACGGCAATGCAGAGCCAACAAACTAGCGATTGCGAGATCGCCCATTACGCTCGAAAGTAACTACGGCAAGTTGAGAGAGATGAACTGAGACAGTACTGAAATCTATACCCTACACAGACTAATGAAATACTATCTGTAAAATTATCTATGTAAACAAACCTCATCACTTGAGAAGGTAGGTGATGTGCACGTCGTGGAAGACATTTTGTCCCGTAACGCTCGCCGTACTGTTGGGGGGGAGAAGCGGTGGGGGTGAGATGTTCATGTTGCTGCGGTCTGCAGTCTGGACGTTAGATGTCACTGAAAATTACACACTGTAGCTTTAAGGTTTACATATCCACAATGGGTTTATATCGCACACTAGAACCATCTCAGTTGATGACATCATCACTACTCATTTGTTCCATTGTGAAAAATGTCACCCGTCAAATTGACGGCCAGTGGGAGCTCTAGTAAGATCAGAATTCTGGGAGTTCTAGTGTTAAATACACATGAACATAAATTCAACACACTGTAGTAAAAAAATAAGTAAATAGACGCAGAAGATGTCTTTCAGTCATCAATGCACACATTCAGCGACACACAGGAGCTCTTTCAAGCTGGGCACCATTTCATTCACAACACCTGTCCCATCAACGAGGAACCAGAATCAGAAATATTTTAATAATCCCAGGGAGAAATTACTTTTGTTACATTACTCCATCTGTAATAGAGTGACTATAGGACCAGTTTGATTAAACACAATTTCATACAATATGTATCATTATGGGGACCCATCTCGCCATCAGTTTGGGGGTCTTTGGCCTGGAAAACATTGAAGACCTCTTCCTTAAAGATATGCTTTTAACGAAGTATAAGTTTATGCAATGTATTTATTGCAAATTACTCTTTAAAATGCAATTTTGGTTGGCTGCAGTTTCCAAATTGTCATGAAATCCGGCTTTGGCTGCTGACAATATTTTCCGTCTGTTGATTGGAGCTTCAGTTAATAACTAATTCAGGTGATGAAGCTTAAGAAGCAAAGGATGCAGGATTGTTGAAATTTCCAGAACATTTATTTATTTCCCTAATTTGAAAGAGTGAAATAAATAAATAAATAAATACTCAATTATTCTCACTCATAGTGAGAGTTTATTATTAAAAAATATTTTCATTGCAATATTTTAAAGTAATAATAACATTTCTGATTAAGAAAATAATGAAGAAACAGTTTGGTGTTGTTTGATTTAATAATAGTTTTCAAACCTAACTTGACCACTAGAGGTCACTTTTGACTAAGTATTTTAGAAGAAAGGTATGCATGGTTAGGAAAAAAAAAATCCAATTCTTATTCTATAATAGTTGTATATATTTTAGAATTATGAATGTATTGGATTTATCCACACTGATGTAAAACCACAAATTGGAAGAAGTTAGATTTTAAATCCAAGACAAAAAACACATAATAGTTCTTTCATGTGTTTTGATTTCTTTTTAATTAATTATTAAAGAAGCCCCTTTTATTTGTTGTAATGATAAACATCCGTTCTGTATTTTAGCATTTAAGGTCTTATGAGTTACATGTGTCTTCACATAATATGCATGCATTATGATTCTTTTTGTTTAACACAACTTAACTGAAACTGTTTGAGTCTAAAACCTCTTTTCTTTAATTCCAATTTGACCAAAATAATCATCATGAGAGGAAATGAAATTTAATTGGTTCTGGTTGAGCTGGCTTGGGAACAGCGCACACCCGTCTCCTGCTGCAGACAGTGTCTTTGTTGTTCCACCCAAAGAGAAAAAGAAACCCAACATAGCAGCTGTTCCCACATAGGAAAACTGAAAGTGAAAGTTTTGGAAATGTGGCCAAGCCTTTACCAACAGATCCAGCACCCGCCCTTTTCTGTAAACAGGTGTCGGTTTCTAAAAAATCTTGTTTTTTATTAGGAGTGCTCACATGGGAGCGTCGTAGAGGAATGTCTTCTAAAAAGCTGTTAGATAAAAACGTCCAGTGTCATTTCCAACATAACCGCTTTTTTATTTCAAAAATATTCCCAACCTTGTTTTCTTTCCACAAAAATCTGCATCTCAAATGTGTTGAAAAGCAGATGAGATCCAGATTTTGTGACTCTGACCCCCACTGACATACGCTCCCATGCTACAGCTCTTGAGACTTGCTTCTACTTCTAATGAAACTGAAGATCAGAATGTTGATGATGCATGACTTATAACTTCGGTTTGCATACTTTCGATGTATTTCAGTTGATCCATTTTGTTTGATAGATTTTAATATGAAAATGTTCTTTGGGGCAAAATAAGGAGACGGTTTCTGCATGCAGCATGGGTTGATATGATACTGTTGGGTCTTGAAGAGGTTCTTGAACTCTGTGTGGCAAAATAAAATAATTCTTCCCAAGTAAAACTTAGAACTTCTGACAACTAAACTGTCATTCACTTCATAAATGCGACACACGTTCATACTAACCTTGGATAGAAATGGAGGTTTAGTTTCAAAAGTTTCCTGAAGACCACTCCTCATGTGACGCTCACAAGATCATTTCACCATGGTAGAGTAACATGCAAAGATTCTTGATTGTCTTTAGCTTGGTAAAGGCACTAATGGCTTACAGTCCCTTGATGATTAGATTGACAAAATAGTGAGTCTTTGCAAGAGCATTCGGCTGTATGGGAGATGATACATGAAGCACTTCATCGGCTGACATCAGAGATACTCACTGCTAGTGGCCAGTGGTAGCCACTAAGCTCAACAAACTGATGGGTGACAAATGTTATTTCACACTAAATCATGAGCAGACTTGAGCCCCATTCTAAAACGTCTGCAGGGTCTTCCAGTACAGGCGTCAGGACAAGTTAGGAGGGTGTTACATTAGAAAGGGCAGTGACCATAGTGCACCAGGGGTATGGTGTCGGATTGGTTTAGGTACAGCCTGTTTTGTCTTTAACAATGCAAGTGCAAGCCAGTCATTTTCGTTGCATGACCCATTATGTTACCTTGTCTGCTATTTTAAGACTTAAGTATGAAATACTGTAAGATTTTGCATGTTTTCTTTGAAAAACAAACACGGCCTATTGTGTGAGAGTGTGTGTTTGCCACTGGGAAACGGTTAGAGCTGCTGCAGCTGCTAGGTGCCTCAATATTGTAAGAAAACTGTGTTTTACTAAGAGACTGGAATCATATGAACTGGACAGATTTCCAAGATGGTGAGCTACCTCTAGACTAGAGCTGCCCAAAGTTTTCCCTCTGGGGCCGCTGCCCTGGAGGTTTTAGAATTTTCCCTGCTTCAGCATAGCTGATTTTCATGGATTGCTGATAATTAGGCTTTTGCTGAACCTTATTCATCAGAATAAACTGTGCAGAAGCAGAAAAAAACTCTAAAACCCGCAGGACAGAAGCCTTCAAGCACTGATCTGGAACTTGGGCCTCTGACTAGTTTTAACTGCGGTAGGAAGCTCTGCGGCCTTGTCACTTACACACACTTACATTCACCAAAGCCGTCTGAAAAACCTCCTCTTTTCAGCCAGGTGAACAATCCCTCCTTTAACGACAGACCCTGAACAATCATAGACAGGTTTCAGATATTACAGGCTAAAAATGGAACCAAACAACCCAGTTTCAATTTGCATGTTTCCAAGCAATACAAGGCCTTGTCTATAAAAAGCCTCAAACTCACTGCGGATCCAGATATTTGAATTGAGAAAGCTTCCTGGAGAGGTAGCGAAATGTCTTCAAACCTTGGAAACCAAGCCTAGTGGATTGTTTTCTAAACTTTTGTGGAAAGTCTGAAAAATTCTATTTTTGTTGGGCTCATTGAATAGTTTAATCCCTGAACACTGAAACACCTCTTTATCGATTTAAGAAGTTGTGGAATCAATACCATCATATAGACTAAGTACTGAATATTTTTGGGAGAACTGTTCATTGGAAGTTTGAACTAATTCAAACATCTGCACCAGAGCATCTTGTATTTATTGATTTGTTTTTAGTAACTTTTGACAGAAATAGAGGTGTAGTTTGGATTTATATACTGTGATGCAATAGAAAGACAAGTAGTTGAATTTATGATGGATTTACTTAGCAGTGAAGGGCTTTCACTACAGGAAGATCAAAGAGAGACACAGATTTGTAGTGAGACTATGTAAATGGTAAAAGTCCTGTACTAATATAGTGTTTTTTTAAGTCAGCAGACTTGACCAAAGTGCTTTACGCTACATTTAGTCATTCACGCACACACACACACACTGATGGTGGCTAGCCACATTGTAGCCACAGCTGCCCAATAACAGAGGCGGGGCTGCTGTACACTGGCGTCAGTAGGCAATGCAGGTGAAGTGTCTTGCCCAAGGTCTCAACGACACAGAAAGCCTTCGAATTGGAGGGAAAAATTCTGCACCCTACGCCCCTGTCACCCCATGTGGTCATTAGATGGTTATGTCGGACAGAGTTGGGTATCATCAGCATAGCAGTGATATAATAATATATGGTGGTGTCGATGAGTATACAGTAAAGAGAAAAATGTCCCATTACTGAGCATTGAGAGAACCCTGGGTTGAATTGCTGCCACTGAAATTATGTAACAGGTTGGTCTGCTGTAGAGTTTTCTAACTACCAACAATTATTTTTAACCTATGATTTCTTTCCTTCATTGATTATATTACACCCCATGTATTACACTTTTATGCTTGTTACTGTTTTTAGGTTGCACTGCTAGACGTGGATATATGTGGTCCATCCATTCCCAGGATTATGGGCCTGGAGGGAGAGCAGGTACGTTTGGCTGCATGTTAGAAACCTGCAGAAAAATGCAAGGAAGATGTTTTACCTTTATTTTGGGTTTGCCTGTAGGTTCATCAGAGCGGCTCTGGCTGGTCTCCTGTGGTGAGTCACACTTAACCAACTTTCAATTGTGTTGTTTTTGTTTGTAGGGAATTTCTTGCGATATAAATCCCTTATTTTGTTTGCATTTGTTTCAGTATGTGGATGACAACCTTGCAGTCATGTCTATCGGCTTCCTTCTCAGCAGTCCTGACGATGCTGTGATCTGGAGAGGGCCCAAGAAAAACGGTGTGCTGAATCACAGTAGATCTGTTGGTACAGCTGTGAGTGTAAGTTTTCCTCATTTACCAACGCTGTCTGTTCCGATTCAGGGATGATCAAGCAGTTTTTACGGGACGTCGACTGGGGGGAGCTGGATTACCTTGTCATAGATACTCCACCTGGCACCTCTGATGAACACTTGTCAATAGTGCAGTACCTCAGCTCCACCAATGTGGATGGAGCTGTCATCATCACCACGCCACAGGTACACAATGCCACTATGAAACTCCTAGGTTTTTTTTTTCTTTTTAGAGTTCTGAAAGTATATAGTCTCGTTAGGATTTTTCTTATCTTTTACAGCATAGAACCTGCTGTATTGTAGGTTGTTAAAAGTTAGTTTGAACCAGGTTTACTGCTTGCTTTGAACACACCAGGTTTCCTAAATACACCGACGGTTAAGAATCAAACCATCAGCCACAAGTTTTGTTGGAGCCTTTTTAAACACTAAATTTTGAATTAAAAGCATTAAACAAAACTCTGATCATTTAGAATTTAAATGAAATGGAAATTCTTGTCCACTGTACGTTGTACTTTAATAAATCCCATAAAGAGAAAGTTGAATATTAATAGATATAAGTTTTAAAATAGGTGAATGTAAATACATTGTAGTAACAAATTTACCTTTAAACACACCTGTCTGTTTTTAACTTATTCATGCTTGAAAAGGGATTTTTAAACTCTCCTACCTGATATATTTGGTGTATAATTAAAACTGAAGTATATTTTTTATTACAAATAATTCCTTCTACATCACTGTTATGGCATCTTTAGGTCTTTGTGTTCTTATTTAACCAAAACCAAACTAGGTATTGGCATTGCCTACACATTTAGGCTATTTAAGCTGGAGAAAAGTGATGCCTCTTCCATCTTCAAATCAATACAAAAAGCCAATCAGTGAAAGATATGTAATAGTTTATAGGAAGCTGTGAGAAACACTTCAAATAGACTCCAGTGAAGAAATAAGGTTGTAAAACAACAAAATCTAGATTATGTGTCTGAAGTGAAATTTGTGTCCATAGAAATCCTGCTCCATGAAAACACACACACTTTGGATTCATGGCTTAAAAAGTCACTTAGTCTGGTTAATCATTTGATCTGTTAAAGCAGGTAGCGCCTGATATATAAAAGGTTAACCCTGATATTAAACATGCCTTCGCTTCAGCATGCAGATAGCCAAAACAAAAAAGGAGAACTTGTTTTGAGGAAACGCTCAGAAATAAAATTTTTCGGCTGTCCTCACAGCATTAAAGCGGTTCTGTATCAAAGCTTCTTTTTTCATTTTTTTTCGGGTGGGTGGGGTATTTTCTTTTCAACAAATTTTGGCTGCTTAAATAATAACTAAATGAAGAGAAAAAAAGAGTTCAAATCAAACGATTAGCAGAATATTTATTGGCTGGTGTGAAGGGAAATTGATTATGACATTTTTTATGGGTGATCTACGTGTAATTATCTAAATGTCCTTTTGGCGTTTCTGTTCAGCTTGTTTTCAGCCTTAGCAAGGATGCTGATGTCCCAGCATCCTCCATTTTTTATGTTTAGATTAGATGTGAAATTGTGCAGAACTTGCTGTTTAAATACAACAATGATTGCTAAACACAAAAGCCGAATATTGTCAAGGAGTGGATAAAAACGGTTTCTGGAAAAGCTACATATTGTCAAGGAGTGGATAAAAACGGTTTCTGGAAAAGCTACAATGTCATTCCTATTAAAAAAGCAGGGATAGTATGAGTAAACCAACCTAGTATATGTTTATATCTGAGCCTGTTTGCTTAGGTTTTACCATGTTGTGGATGAGAAAAATATCCATCATGAGAAAAGATTGATTTGGCTTCTGACCCTACCTGTATATCTCAGCATGCAGGGATTTAAAAAAAAAATTGTTCCTATTCTTTCAATATCTTAAATTTTTACTTTGTCACATATTAGGGTTTCAGGTACAATTTTAGCATCAGGCAAAGCTTAATAAGAACACAATGCTGTGTTTTTTAAGTTGTGATTTCAGGTATTAAGGGACAAAGCTATCCAATCCAAAATGGCTCCTTATGGAAAGTGTTTTCTTGTAGAATTGGAACAGGGGGCTGTCTACAAGTTTAACTTCAAGTTTAACTTCTCTCAGCCAGTAAGTGACACGGTTGTGCTCACCTGCTGTGATTCCATCCTTCTATTGCACCATTTGCTCGATAAGCCGACCTGGCAACCAGCTGCCATTTATTTCTTCTAGACTTACCCGTCTAGAAGAAAAGTTACAATCTCTGTTTCTCTTTCCATGTGCTTCCTTTAAGTACATCTCGCGTTGTTCCAGGGCCGTACCTCTGGCCACCTGTAATATTTGAGAACCCTCCCATTACAAGGCGAAATTTGGGAAGGGTTGAGAACAGTCAAAGCAGCACACTGGCAGCTACAGTGACACAAACATGGAGGGCAGAGTAATCCTATTGATGAAGTGGTAGAATGAAGCAGAGGATTTCTCTTCACCATATTCACCAGAAAGGAAGGGCAATCTTTACCTCCACCTCATTTTCTCCCACATATAATAGCTCTTGTAGGGACCGTCAATAAATATCGGAACCAGACAAAAATTAACTTTCATCTCTTGTGACCCGTTCACACAGAAATAATGTAAAATCATTATTTTCAGATTGGGAATCTAAGAAACACTACCGTTTGTCCAGTTTTAATATATTTCCTATTTTTTTCCAATTATTTTTCTCTATAAAATTAATGTGTGGGTTTTCTTTTTTGCCAACAGCTTTTAGATCATGCGACTGCTTGACACAAAACTTATGTTAAATCATTTTATCAGTCATTTTAATACATTTACATTTTATTACCGTAACTTTTATATTGGAGCAAACTATTTTCATTTTCCTTTTATGACAATCATTTAATTTATTATCCGTCCCTAAGCAAAACTACACTTCCTGACATCAAGCCTAGAAGTAAATATTTATTTTATATATATATATTTTATATAGTCTATATAATTTTTACCGGTAAACATTTTTAAATATTTATAATACTTACATACTATAATAGTTTTTTAGTAAAATTAATACTATTATTTTGTGCCACTTCAGATAAAGCATTACTTTTTGAAAAATGTATCATTATGATGAAAAAGTTATATCTGTTACCTTTATATAAACCAAGAAGTTGCCTGTTGGATAAATGTCTCCAAAACAACACAATATAACCTAATCTAAAGGAATTAAGGAACAAATGAGAAAACTTCTGACAAAGAATTAACAAGGTGTAACATTGGCTGTTGCTGAGGCGCTTACTCTGAGCTTATTTACAATTCTTTTTTCCTGGATCACTTTTTAAATAACACTTCTAATAAACAAATCTCTAACCAGACTTACTGTAAACCTTAGCATAATTTAAGCTGCATTTAGCAGAGAAAAGCTATGCAGAGTTATGCAGCGCTGTGGCTCACGTTGCAATCAACATCAAAAGAATGAGGATAAACCAAGAAAAACATTTCCCGTCGGTTCTTCTACCTCAGTGATATCTGTGAAGTTATGCTTTATGCCATGTGGGTTTTTATCAGAAAGGGTGTGTCCTTGCTTGTGGTCCGGTGGCCTGCTGCTCTTATAGCCATGATTAAAGATGTTTGCCTTTGTCAAATCTGGCACTTGAGATGAGTAGAATTTCAATTATTATCTAGTCTAGCATGTGGGGAGTGTTGGCTTTGTGGTTAGAGCAGTGAGCTTGTGCTCTGAGAGTTGCAAGTACGCGGTTTTATCCCTACAGCCTCCACTCCGGGTTATTGTGCAAAACCCCACACTGCGCCCCGGGCGCCACACAATGGCAGCCAACTGCTTACCCAGATGATGATTCAAATGCAGAGAGTGAATTTCCCTATCGTGGGACAATAAATTTACATTTACATATCTATACAGGCCATCGTACCTGTTTAGGTTGCCCAATATATTCTCATTCTTTTCCCCTAACCTTGTGAATTGCAGTGTGAAGATATCTGCTTCAGCTATTTTAACTCCTGATTGAGCTTGAATAAAATATTATAAATTATACCTTTTAACATACTATGGGAGGAAAAAACTTAAATAATGGCGAAGTGTATGCATCTACTAGGTATACTACAAGGTATCCACCTAGTTTTTTGGGGGTTCAATAAGCCTTTTTATGAATGATAAAGATTGTTATTAACAAAGGCATTTATTCGGATTTAGGATTTTAGCAAACCATAGTGAGAATTATCCACGAATCAAGAAAATACATCACTGGTGAACCTTCTAAGGCCTTCACCAACTCACCTAGGAGAGCACTGATTATATAAAGCTCTACAGACCTCAGTTATGACCAGTTTTCCTGATGCCAATACACCTGACTGAGGCAAAAAAAAAAGAAGAAAAACAGACATTTATGGCAGAATACCATTTTGGAAAAACTGCTGACACAAAAAAAAAACGTTTAAACCCGGGAATAACCCTAAAATACGGACATCAACAAACCACACCAGTCGCTTCTGATCTGACAAGCCGAAAAAGCTCTGTTTACATTTGATAAACATGGAGCAGCACTGGAGAGAGGGCTTCAGACAGACAAAAGGGCAAAACAATAAAGCCCACTGACTACGCCCTGGCTGCTTTACCTGTTGCTCTACATTGTTTACTTCCTTGATATCTGTCATACTGGTTACATCATCAACGATAACACAGTGTGGTTCACCAGACACCCAACGGCAGGAGGACAGAGGCCACACATCTTGCCAGCAAGGGTTTAAACCCAACCTTTTTTGCCAGTGGGAAGGGAGACAAATGCCAATTGTTAGCAGGTAGAACCATGTTTGAAAAATATGAGTTAAACCAGTATTTTCAGTGGGAGAATGAATCAAAGCATCCAGGAAGTCCAGCTCTAAATGGCTCATAAAAAAAAATACAAAACACTACAGATTTATATGTCCTGTCTTAAACAAAATGTTTTTAGACATAAAATGTACTAAACCTATAAATTTACACTAAAAGAGTTTTAAAAGCATGATGTTAAAGCTTTAATTTGACATCTTGAATCAACATTTCACCAAGGGGGATTTTTTTTTAAAGCTAGATTACTCCTTCAGGTTAATGATGAACCCAAAACATAACAATCCTCTTAGGGAACAGGCTAAAGTATTTAGACAACATGATGAGTTTATGAGTAAACATAAAGCGTTAAAGAGATGTAAAATTGTAGGTAACACCATTCTTATGATTGCTTATTGAAAGAAACTCGGACAAAAATAGTTTAGAGTAATTTATCTAGGGGGGCTATGAGGAAGTTGAGTCACTTCCAGGTTTGATAAGGACTGTGGATTTATTGATCTAAATCTTCACCAGTAGAGAAACGCTAAAAGAGAAGCAGGAGAAGAACCACAGTGACATATTAGAAATTTATTCAGAATTTAAATTAACTTTTCTTTTCTAAGTTCCCTGGTGCTGTGTTCTGTAGGATTTGGTGTCCGTGAAAGTTCTCAGATTTTTATTATTTCTGCCATATAAGGTTATAAACTTTTTTTTTTCTCTGGTTTTTGGCTGCAATGGTGAAGCTTATGTTTCATTGTATTCAGAGCCGACCGGCTGTTTGGAAAGCTTCCCTGATTCCTATCTCTGCTTTAGCTGTGAACCGGACCAAAACCCTGAACACTTCCTCATTCAATAGGTTACTGCCTAACCATTACCAGACAAACACCAGACTGGAATTACCCGTGAAAAGGAAAAGGGAGAAAACATTTAGCTTGCTGCTGTCTTGATCTATCATTTTTCCTCCCTCTGTGGTCATTGTTTATTTTCCCCACTCATTCATTACCCCTTGTGTCTAAATCCTTGTTTCTCTCTCTCTCTTCTTAGGAGGTGTCGTTGCAGGATGTGCGAAAGGAGATCAGGTTCTGCCAAAAAGTGAAGCTGCCCATCATCGGGGTGGTGGAAAACATGAGCGGCTTCATGTGCCCCAAATGCAAGGTTGCTAGCAAATGAAAAACACTGTGAAGCCCTCAAATCAGATCCAAGTTTGTGTTTTTAATTTTAAAGGGTTGAGTTTTATTTTTTTAAAGATGGATGCTGACTGATTAGACTTTAAATGTTGTTTGGGAATGTAAATGATAGTAAGGGCATCTGAGGTAAACTAATGCTGGAACGAGGAACTGTTTATATATTCAACCTCTAGAGCAAAGGCCAAAATGAGCTAAGCTGCTTTGTTTGATCATAAGGACTCACTGCATAGTTTTCCTAAAATAGCTGTCATGTTACAACGCTTTCTCTCTCTCTGTGTTTCTGTTATGAATATTTATGATGGAAAGCTTTAGTCTTCTCTGCTATTCTGAGAATCCTCATTCCTCTTGTTTCTATTGGTCTCTGTTATTAGAATACATCGCAGATCTTTCCTCCCACCAGCGGTGGAGCTGAGAAAATGTGTGCAGACCTAAATCTACCTCTGTTAGGCAAAGTGCCTCTTGACCCGAGGATCGGACGGAGCTGTGACGAGGGCAAGTCTTTCCTTAATGAAGTGCCCGATTCTCCGGCAGCCGAGGCCTACCGCAGGATCGTCCAAAGTGAGCTCAGTTTTAGTGCCCACTTCCTTTAGCTTCCTTTATGATTATATTTATATAAGAAGTGGGGGGGGGGATTTGGACTGAGTCACATTCCCCTTTCCAGCGAAGTCCCTTTTTTGATGACTTGTTGGGTAAGCTGATCTAATTCCTGGTTAAATGTAATGAAAGAAGAAGTATTCACTTGCAAATGGGAAGCAGCCAAGTAAAGCGGAAGAAAGATTTTTATCAAAATGGAATAACTTGAGGTTCAGCATAAAATCAACACTATACAATTTAATGTGGTTTGTGGAACTCGTGCTTCAGAGTAAATTCACACACAGAGAAATGGTTCAGGAGATTTATTTGAAATGCTTTCTTTAATTTCTCAGGTATCCAGGACTACTGCTCCAACAGAGCCACTGATGTGCAGAACGCAACCTGAGCCCCCATTACAGTAGGTTGGACCCCTAAACTGAGGTGGATCAGAAGAACATGGAGAACAAGAGTACATAAGAAAACATTTAAGCGTTGAATTTTTTGGGACTATTCTCAGTGGCAAAGTTTTTTTACTTTCAGAAACTATGATGCTTGTTTACGAGGACGGTCCGACAGCACTGCGTTCTGCTTCCTCTACCCAGCAGTGATATATCACTTGAAAACGCTGGAAACAACAACAATGAATAAATATTTACTGGATGCATTCCTGCTTTTTGATCAAGAATTAAACATTGTCCCTATCAGATAAATCTTTGATGAATTTCTTCCTAATGGTCCCACTGAAATGGGAATCTTTAAAGAAAAGTCACACGCTGCTTCGGATTTAAAATGGCTTTTGTTTTTTTGTTTTTTTTTGCTTTGATTTAAAAAAAAAATTTTGATTAACTAAAATTGTTATCGGCTGTTTTTACATTAGTCCCGAAGTATTCCTGCATTCAAAGGTATTATTTATATTTCATTATATGTTAATTAGACTTATTAGTTCTGAGCCTCTTTGACATAAGTGGGACTTTAATTCTTCAATTTTCTGTATTATACACTGCTAAAGGTCAGGATGCTTTAGCAGTGTTAACATTCCCATCATGTTGCAACATTGAGCAGTCCTCATTAAAACTAACAGCAACCTCACTGCAGCTTTAGCCACACCCACTGTCAACTAATAAGCTAATGGGGTCTTAAAATCTGCAGAAGTTATTCTTCATTAAAGTTGCTCCTTATTAAGTTATTGAAGTTATGTTTAATTAATACACTAATAAATCTGAGTAATCTATATGGTTAAATGTAACAATTAGCAGAGTTTTTACCAAATAATGCATTTGAAATACTTAGTTTAATTGTTTACCATGGCCGCTTCTCGATATGCATTCTTGAGCGTTCTCATGAATTAAGAAACTGCCCATGTTTGCAGTGCTTTATGACCCAGCATCCAAAGACTGAAGCTGGTCATGGAGAATGATGGAGAGGTTTCTGTTGACAGTTTAGGCAAATCACAGCTCATTGCCAAACCAGTATTACCTGTAACACAGAGAGACAGCAGACCTGGCTGACACCAACTTCAGCGCCCAGAGCTTCTCTGGTGGCTAAACTTCCAGACTGGCACTCCTCAAATCAGGAAGCTGTTCTAAAACATATTCACAGACGCTAACATAGACAAAAGATTTATACACATTTGCTTAATTTTCTGTGGGTAGTAAAACTAATGTAAAAGTAGTAACAAAGGAGGTGAAATGTAGTTAACACTGGGATTGCTGTATCAACCGTAACCCAAATCATGCACTGAAAAGCTTCATTTTAGTTGTATAATCATTAACTTTATTATCATTATTTGCATGTAGGCATTACTCGACGTGGCACTCAGACACAAGCCTGATCTCTTTGGCGTTGGATGATGGATAGGCTTGTAAGGTCTCCTCTGTATGGAGTAAATGGGTCATTCTGAACAATCATTACCTCACAAGCTGCACTGGAGAGTTAATGTTCCTTAGTCAGTTTTGGAAATAAAGTTAAAGTAAAATCTACAATCTTAGACCAAAAAAAGATGACAGCAGAATTTTCAGGAAATATATTCATGCAAGGAAGTGGTTATAGACCAAAATGTTAGTTTGTGCCCATTTGCAGTTGTCAGCATTTCACTGCATTAAATCTTAAACTTTGTCACCAAAAATTGAAGCAAATTAAGAGAAAGTTTGTCTGCTGAATTAAAAAAAAAAACAATGTTTTATTATGAAAACCAATAAATATTGTTCTAATACTGATATGACTACCATTTTCTTATATTTTCAGCAAATAAACAGACTTTAAAAGTATTTTCTTTTTCATTTTGTTGGATATTTAACACAGAACATTCATCACAATTTTTAATTGCAGTTCAACTGGTTCACAAAATAAAAGTGCAATCCTCCCATATTTAAGTTTGGTTTTTAACAATCTAGTTTTAAAATTTTTTTTTTCTTAGCTAAAAGTCAGAGTGAGTCTCATTTTGACAGTCTATAACTGGGATTGCCTGCTGCATGTGTGTGTTTGTGTGCGTCAGTCTGAGGAGACAACGTCCTCATTTGTACTTGCTCTACAGATGTAGTTCCTCTGGGGTTAATTGAAAAACACATGTGAAACCTCCACATGCAACCCACAACAAAACCAAAAAATAAATCAAGCAATAGTTACAGTAGTTTAATGTTCACATCCACCTGTCTCTTTAAGGACACAGTTGATACCTGACATATTGGACCCTTAAACTTTTAGAAATGTATTGGTCTGTAATGGTCATATTTTTAAATTTCAAGAAAACCTTTTGTTAAATCTAAGCTATTTCAGCATTTATTATATAAATGTAATATTTTTATATCTTTGAGTTTTCAAGTTGTGTCAAAGTTCAAATGGGTTTCATGGGAAATTTTAAAGAAAACCTAGAAAATAGATTTCAAAGCCATACATACAAGTCAGTCAGGCATTCAGTAGAAAGTTCCAAAAAATATAATGCAACACACTGGAAGCACAATAAGATGCATGTAATGTTGTACGAATGTAGAACCAATATGATAAAAAAATAAAAAAAAATTCCATTTGTATTATGTCCAAATAAAAAGAGGAAATGAAGAGAAATGTTTTGAAAGCAGTAGTTTTGGACCTTTTAATCTGACATCCTATCCAGAGATATATAAGAGCAAAGCATGCCTCTTTTCTTTTTTTGCTATATTGGTGAAAGACTGCTTTTCCAAAATAAAAAAAAAAAGCTTTTATGCTGATATAGTCGTAGCATTTTTTTCATCTGTACATAGAATTGCTGTGTATCCCCTCCCACTCTTGTTGCTGCTCAATATCTGCCAGTAGATTAACTTATCCTCCCGCGCCTTCCCGTCACATATCAGAAAGATTGCTTTAGCTTGCAATATTTTCTGTTGAGAAACCCACTGACAGTAATGAAGGTTTTTTTTTAACTAAATGATTACTACCTATTACTTACTAAAACTACTCACTGCAGGGTCGCTGAACAGTTAGCCTGACTAGTAACGCTTGTAAACTGCTACTCTTATGAAATGCAAAAAGGTATTTTTGTGCAAAAAAACTCAAAACATGTCACTAAATTGGTTGACTTTTTTTATTCAAAAGTTTTGCTTCAGTTTATATTAAATTAAGGACAACACGGTTCAACATTTTACCTAGCAGTTGAACGGATTGGTTTCTGCTTAAAGCAGTTACATCATGTTATGTATCATATTATGCCATTACCATGGTATGTTCATTTAACGTCATACTCTGTGAATCTTATGCTGGCCCATGCCAGGCCCTAAACAGTCTGAGTTAAAATTCCTATCTCTTTCCAAAAACCATGTGACATTAATACTTTATTCCTGCAAGGTTGATGCTGGTGGGAAAATAAACAGGAGGCACCAAAAAATAAAAATGCATCAACACACACTTAATTACACAGTCATTTAGAACATACCGGTCATAAAAGTGCATTTATCACAAGTAACAATATAATATTTGCTCTGTTTTATGATGTTATTTTTGCATTTCAGCTTTCACTTCTTTAAATGTTCGCCTCCACTGGCTTGCATCATTTTGGAAAAGAGTTTTAAAATTATTCATCTTCCTTGGAAAATCTCTAGAAAATATGACTGACTGACTTTTTTTTATATATATATACAGCAGGATAGAGATGCCAGAAAGGTTTAATGACCCTCTGATGATTTTTTAGGGGGAAAAAAGTTTAACATTTTTGTTGCTTTTGTTGGGTCATATGCAGAGAATGATAATTCCACTTAATTAGAAGTGGAGCATCATGCTTTTAGGTTCTTTTTGGTTCATTTTTAAAACCAAAGCTGGAATTATTATGTTCTTTTTAAACAATACAAACTTTCCCTACTGCAAGGTGTAGCTTGTTGGTTTTAAGATAAGGAGAGCATGAGAGATATTTTTGGCACGATGAATCTTACCCAAACCAGTTTCAGTCAATCAAAGATGTTATGCAATTGATTGATTTTCCTGCTTCTTGCTGAAATCTAAGGTGGTGATCTGATAAGATAGGTGTTCTTAGAAGTGAGTAAATGTTCACATCTCTGCACTTGTGCGTAAAAGCCACGACTTACGTAGCAGGGTATGTCTGGAGAATTAACAATTAAGGGAAGTGTTGCCTATAACTACATCCTCTTATACTGAGAAAGTCCCTAAGTGGAGGAGGTTATATTAAACCTGAAGTTTGTGTTTTTAGATCGAAACAATAAAAATAATAAAGCAGATGGGATTTGTTTGATTTTAAATACTGTAATTATATCAGTCTTGTTTTTTTTATTATTATTATTATTTTTAGTCTTGGAAAATTATTGAAATATCTGTAAAATATTCTTAGAGCTTTTTTTTTCTGATGCCGATATGTATCAAAAACAAATGCATCCTTTCAGACTTTAAATCAGTGCAAGCTTTATCAAATTTCACTATCTGCTTATAACAAGTATAATGTTGCCACCACCAGTCTGATGCGTGCATTCCCGTTGTTTTTGAAGCAGACCTCCCTCTCCAACCACAAAAACACCACCCCACTCACGCCTCCCTGACAAAAGCTGTGTCCCTTTAAACAAAGAAAAAAGAAATGCATCTAAAAATCTATCATCCTGAACAGAAGGCATTTCATCAGGTAAAGCTGGATGACTGTTGTGACATCACTATGGCTCAGTTCGCCAAGGTTCTGGATCAGGTGAGGCTGGTTCTCACCTGGGCTCTCCCAGGCAAGGTCTGTGCTTTCCTGGATCTATTGGTGAAGGAGGGGATTATCTCAGAGGCATACAAGAAGAGTTTGAACCTATGCTGGCTTAAAGGGATTGAGCCTAAATTGACCTGTAAACATGGATGTGGCAAGTTGGATGATGATTTCAGTTCTCAGGGATCAACGGCCCAGCGGTACCTCGACCAAGAACCGAAGAGCCAAGCCAGGATAGACTATTTGGAATCTTCTGCCAGTGACCGCAATGTGGAACAAACTGAATCTGTCTCATCAATAGAGGAAGCTAACAGCACAAGATTTAATCTGCAAAAAAACCCGTGGCGCAAATATGAAATCCCTCCGAGAAACCAGGGAGAAATTCAGGAATTATTGAAAGAAATTGCAATGGATGTGTCCTACTTGAATCAAGAGCTCTTTTCCTCACCATCAGTGAATGACAGGATTCTTAGATCCAGCAATCAAAAAGCAGAACCGCTGAGCAGTGCAAGCAGTGAGCCTGCAAGTGATAATGAAAGAGTAGGCAAGGGGAATTTGGAAAATGAGGAGGAGTGTTTAGAGCAAGTCGAAGAGGCTGCAAGGAAGATAGCTGTCCCTCTGTGGCAGCACTGGGACAGA